GAGGTGACAGAATGCAAAGGTTAAAATAAAAACAGAATTTTAATTAGGCGATATAAAGCTGTGCATGGCAACAGTAAGATAAACTACCAACAAAGTGCTAACAAGCATTCCTTCAAAGTACACCAACGAACCTTTGGGCAGTGTGGCCAATAAGAAACAAACTGAGCTATGTCCCCAAACACTGCGAAACATTGTGTTGCTCGTGGCACAAATACAGCTTGGAGCCAGGGTTCACTGGCGCAAATAAAAAGAGTTTCTAAAAAGAAATGTCTCAACTGCTGGACCCAAGGTCCAGGAGAACGTTCGCAGGCCAGGAGAACATTCACCGATGCTGGATTGATGACGGGTCCGAAAGATGGTCTTCGTCTCGTTGCTTGGCAGGCTGATGTAACATTGCACTCTTGAAACGGGAACAACACACTGCCTGCAGGCAAGAGCACGCCAAAACGCAAAACTAGAGACTTGGCCCTCAAAATGAGAAAGAAGCAAGACTTGCGACGTAACCACCCTGCCAAAAGCGAGCCTATTTGTAGCCCAACCTTGCAGGCAAGCAAGGCCCAAAAACATTGTATCACAATTACTTTTTGGAACATATTGTAAAATCTCCCCTCCCCCCTCACCTCTTCTTACTCAAACGAAAATTAAACCAACGAGAGGGTTCCCCAAACATCAAGAGAACCCCACGACCATGACCACAATTAAAATAATACTCAAAATCTACTAACTAGATTGGTGAACCCCTGTAAGAGTTTATGTATCAACACATCTTCAAGGAAAATCCGGGAAACCCTAAATGCGCAAAGAGCTCGGGAGACCTTGAGTAGAATGCAACCCACAAGAGAGGTCAGCAAATACCCGAACAGACCTAGTACCGTGGAAGTCACGAAAGAAATACCATAATATCCCGAGAAATGCACCACCCCTGAAAGATAACCCGTCCCCTGTTTTTGGCAGGATTTGCCATTTTTCAGAAACACTGAAAAATAGCCCACTTCTAGTAATTGCAGGGCCCTGGCCAATGGTGACCTCGGCAAAAACGGTGTTACTTAATCATTCCGGGAGATAAGCGAACATTGCTGACTGGGAAGGACTGTAGTCTTTGGTTCGTTGCCCCTCCCTGCAATCACAAGTTTCGCGGGCCACAGAATCTAAAACTAGCATTTTTACAACTTTTTTTGATAGCTCACCGAAAGTTAGCCCACTCCACATTTTTGCCCAATTTGCTTTCATTCTTAGGTGGGCTATCTCTCGGGATTCTTGCGGTAAGCAGCTTAAAATGAGTTTGGCTTATCCCACTTCACGTCATCAAAAGAGAAACGAACGCAGCTGTACGTCTGGAAAGCACATGGAAAATAAATAAATAGAAAATGTAAAATTTGTGACATCAACACAACTTTTAAGTGAACGCGGTTCTCATAGTTGTAACAATGTTGGTTGTAACAGCGTCATTTCTTCTTTCGCCTGAGTCACTGAATTTTGTTTATGGCTGCCATATTTATTCGTCGGCGGCGGATTCCATTTCTGTGCTTTTTAGGACACGAGTTGGGTTCTTTGTGGTGTTATTTTATTACTCCCCTTCATTTTCCTCTTCTTTCTGCCTTGATTATGGGTTGACCTTACGGAAACATGCTGCTTCCATGATATGCATATATCTTGCAAGCCTCACCGAAGCATAAAATTGAGTTTTCCTCATCCTTCTGCACACACGAGATGTAGTTTCGAAGTCTATGGTAATCTTTTTATTTTTAGCATCATGCTATATAATTGCACTTTAATAGAGATATAACACGAGCCTTTTAACTTTTAAGGTTAGTTTTCATGTTTGTTGACTTGTCCCATGAGGCACACATACGACATTGTTAGCGCAAACACTTCTGCACATGTCCCCCTTTTTGCTTCGAATGGGTATTGGTGGACACCAAATTTTACTGCTTAGCTGGGTGCTCCAACTGAGCACTTCCCACTTCCCTAGTAGTGTTGGTGCCAGTCTTTCAATACTAAGAATAAAAAACAAAAAAACCTGCAAAGGCCGGTAACTGCTTTTTTGCACCAAGAATGCTGTGAAGTGTACATGATAAGAAAAGTTGAGCAACTGATTGCATGCACAGATCCTAAGATACTGACTTTAAAGAGAAATCCTTTCAATGCAGTGGCACATCACTGCAATCTGGGGGTAGCTAATTTTTAGTGGGTCCAAATTTCATGGGCCCAGTAGGATGACTACGCTGCTGACTGCAGCAAAAGCACAAACAAAAGATTTTCGGCAATGCGGTACTCTAAAATCCACCCAGTTACTCTACTCTGTATTCTTGTGCTTGTGCTTCTAGAATCACTTGTAGTTAAGGTACCCTTCAATGCTGAAGCATACTTACGCTGCTTTTAACTATTTTGTACTATATCTGTTATAGCATGTCTTGAATGTGATCCTGTGTATATCTGTTTCTAATAGCATTTTCGTGGAAGTGCACCAATCTAAAGGATATATCCTGGTTGTTTTGGGGCACTTTGAATGAAGATTATTATTATAGCATTAAACTGTAATTTGAATGGGAAAATGTACATGCATTCCTGTTTAGGATACCTCTAAAAATCTGAAATCTTGGTTTGGGCAGGAGTTGAATAGATTTGACTGGTAGCTACAACTTTTGTTCAGGTGTTTAATGTGTGTAAGTTTGTGTTTCTTGGCATTTGCAGGTCCTCTGCATTTAAAGGGATACTGAACGAAAGAATTTAGTGCCCATAGTAAGTGGCGCACGTTCTTTCTACCAGCCAGCAGCCGCCGGTGTGCGCGAGCACACGCACCAAAAATGATGTCACAGACCTCCATTCGCGGTTGAGATGACAGTGAAATGCATGGGCTTCGGACTAAAGGAGAATAAAGACAGGCTTTTCATCTCTACAAGTGAAAGCTACGTGCTTGTTAGACCAATTCATCGCTTACTTTTTACACCAGGCACCCCTGTGTAGATGAAAAACTTGTCTTTATTCTCCTTTGGTCCGAAGCCCATACATTTCACTGTCATCTCAACCACGAATGGAGGTCTGTGACGTCATTTTTGTTGCGTGTGCTCGCGCACACCGGCGGCTGCTGGCTCGTGGAAAGAATGTTCGCCACTTATTATGGACACCAAATTCCTTGGTTCAGTATCCCTTTAAGTCAGCGGTTATGAATTGGGCCAATATTACTGCAGCTCTTAAAACATTCCTGAGGCAATTTTTTTTTTGGCTACTAGTGTTCAAGAAAAGAGTATGTTTTTGTTTACTCATGCTGACTTTTGTAAAAAGTGAAGCTCTGAAGCTCACATTATTTTTTCCTCAATTTCTCATTTTTTTACCCACCAGGCTGCCCCAGTCCTACAAATAGGCTTTGCGAAATTCCAACCACTTTGGGCCTATTTATCTTAAACAGTATATCAGTGATTCTTTTTTTTTTTTGTTTATATAGTTTTTTTTGCACAGCCAAAGGACTGCGTGGAAGAGAATATTATCAGTGATGGAATTGCTGCACCATTTTTGCCAGATTGTGCCGTGACCGAAAGTATGCTACATCTTGTGCCAAAATGCCATTTTTGCGAGGAATTGCGCCACACCTGCGCTGATACGGGCTTTGAAAAAAAAAAAGGCAAAGAAAATTATTGTAATATTGGTAGACTCTGATATTCATAGTAGGAGGGAAGAAAAATGGTACAAATATGTGTTTCACTGTGCTTTGAACCAAGGTGGAACAAAGTGTAGATATTGCTCAACCCCACTAGTGACATCATGTCTGAACTTCCAGATGATATCGGCAATGTCGGAAGCTTCAAGTCGCAAGAAAAAAAATGATCAAAATACTGGTATGGCGGCTACTGTGATAATACAGAACCAGGGTATTTTCCTTCTTACAAGATGACTTGATTATCGTGCCTGCCACATGCCTCCATGCTGTGGCTAGAGCATACCATGACATTCGCACCACTCGCATCAACCCTTTCATCGCTCTGCGCTGCCTCGTGCACATCGAGCTTCACCAGTGTGCTAGGAGGAGCGGCTAACGTGGGGGAGTACCTGGGTTAGTGCCAAGGGCTTGGAAATTACGCTCAGTACTATTACAGGTCGGCCTCCACTGGTCGTGGTTGTAGATTTGTCTCTAATGTAAAAAAATAATTGCAGACCTCTATTTGAATAATTACGGCAGTCAAGTTGAAAGGGCAGCAAACTCTGGCTCAACTTTGCCCCCAATGCCGCTAAAGTGCGGTGTCACTTTTAAGGCACAACTGTAGGTCTTCATAATATATTAAGGTGGTTGTTTGTGCAGTTTATGATATCACAATCTTGAGTTTGGTAGGTTCATAAAACTTAAGAGGACATGTTTTCATTATCAATGTTTTAGTGGATATACTGGTTTTTGCCAACATTCTACAATTTATGTGCTAAATAAACTACCCTACGAGTGCAAAAAAGGTGATGGGGAGAGAGACTTTTTCTCAACTGAAGTGTTGCACTATGATAAATTTTTCAGCCATATTTTTTTGCTTAGTATTCTTCGTCAATGGAACCTACTCTGATCTTAGACTTACTTCTAAAAACAGAGTTGTGTATGCCTTTTGCATCCTACGCATTTTGATTGCACAAGTAATGAGTAATATGCTTCGGTACATCAGAGGAACTCTCAGTCATTAACAAAAATGAACTCATTTAGAGATGCTTTTTCATTGTTATGTGATCTGTTAACAAGTGTTAATATCTGCTCCAGAGGAGCCAGAGGTTGTTCCAAACCAGTATTATTTTCCTTGCTACAAGAACTGCTAGAAAGCTCAGATGCCACTTCCATCATTGTGCTGTGGTAACCTGACATGTTAAGAGTTGAATTTTGGAATCCCTATACATTTCACATTGTTGCATATCATGCTCCACTTGATAGGAATCCTACTTCTAGGAAGCCTTCTTCTCAGGCATTGTATGTTTATTTCTAGATGAAATTTTTGAAACTTTTTACTGCCATGTTGTTTCTTTTGCAGGCCCATTGCTGGTCATGCCAACCTGTGCCCTCACTCCATCTCCACAAAGCCTCAAGACATGGACACCCTGCTGTCCACAGTGAAACATGAAATTCTTCATGCTTTGGTGAGCGTGCCTGGTTTCAGGCTGGGTGTCCAATTGCATGACAGCCATTGATGTTTCGTTCTCATTACACATAACTATAAAACAGGTTTTAGGAGACCAATTAAAGGAACCAAGCTTTTTCAATCTCTCGGTATTTTTTCAGCGTCTGCTTGTAGAAGAAACCCATGACCAATGTATTCTACCTGTTGAGTTAAGCCGAGATGTTTGTTTATTCTCTACTTCTTTTAAGCGTCAGTTACTGTATCTGCTAGAGTAATAACCGCACTGTTTGTGAACAATGCCCATGGCTCTACTTTTCTGCAAAGCACTAGAATAGTGAATCACCGCGATCGGCAGAAAAATGGCAAGTAAAATGGGACAGAGATTAACATCTTCGTGCGGTAATGCTATCTGCTCGGATTGCATTCTTACGGAGAATAATGTTCACGACCTTGTTATTTTCTGCGTTTTTTATGCAGAGCACAATGATTGACTGTATGTGTGTTCTGCAGCAAAGTAGACGCAACGGCTTTGTTCATAAGTGTGGCTATTACTCGAGCAAATATGTTAAATAGAGAAATAGTGCTTTATTTAATAGAAGTGCATTCCTAGGGTTGTAAATAAGCTTATTCACTTTTGTCCCTCTCTCTAGGGCTTCTCGGTGAGCTTATATGCCTACTTTCGTGATAGAAATGGCTATCCATTGACACCCAGGGAGAGGAATGGAAAGCCATCAGTAAACAAAGAGTAAGACTTTCACGCTCACTTTCTTGCTTTGCTGATCATGTTTCTTTATTTTTCTTAGATCCAACTTGTTGCTATTATTTGCTTTGTCATTGCAGTTTTTTCTGATGGTATTCTCTTACACACTGTTTAAAGGGACACTGATGCCCCCCCCCCATTTTTTTTTTTTTTCATTTTTTGCCAGGCGATTTATTAGGGTGTCGGAATACTACCCAATTAATATTTTGCTACAGAGTCACACATTTTTTTAATAAAGCCAAAAAACGCAACTGCTCAAAACAAACCAAAACCCACGCATCGCACGGAGATGTGGAGAAGAGAGAGTGAGTGGCGGAAGTCACGTGGCTACACCCAACCGTGCAATTTTTTTTTCTTCCGGGTGTTGCAGACGAAATGCGTTCGGGATTCTTTTGCAGTTATGTTTGTTCCGCTCGCTGTTCTGTACGTCAAGATGAGTTGTTTTGTATTGCTAAATGTTGGCAGTTAGTAGTGAGTGGCCATGGGTAATTCCCATTATCGGCTCCGAAAAGATTACTTCCAAGATGTTGCGTGAAGAGCTGCCTCACATCTGAAAGTGGCATTGTGCGGCAGAGGTGTCAAAAATGGAATCCCATACCATTTAGTTCAGCGACCTATCGTCCACAACAATATATTTTTTTTTTCTTTCAGTGATAATTGTAAAAAAAAGAAACGTAAACATTGCAAAATGTTTTAAAAAAAAAAATGGTACGCCCACACTAGGGATTGAACCCATGCCCGCTGCGTGTGAAACGGACGTCTTTCCACTGAGCTACTGAAGGAACTCTTTCATTTGTAGTAATGCATCCGGTCGACTGTACGTCGGAAAGTTTGCTGCCGATTTCCCTCCGGTACATGCACTCCCGGCTTGAAGTCGGGCAGCACCATGCATTGGCCACATTCGCACCAAGTAAAGAAACCATACGCGTGCGAATTCAACTCGATGTACGCACTTCGTGCTTAATGTTTGAGCGAGCGATGTCTTCAGCCACGGGAAGGGATGACGGCTCGGCGACACCTTCGTGCAATCGGCTTGCTGGTTGGGCGTGTCGTACGGGATGAATATCAATTCTTTTGATCGGTCCAAAGTTTCTCTTTTGAAGGAAGACAGAATTCGCCAGTACCGTGAACAACAGTTCTGAAGTAGAGCTCCCACGCCCATCGTCCGCTGCCACCCGCGAGTCCCATGAAACGCGAAACAACGCCATGTTCAGAATTATGCAGTGAATGCACAGAATGCTTCCGATTGTCTGTACAACTTTTTTTTTTTTTCAATCAGTGTATTTGCAGCTTTTTGGAAGCCACAAAAAATGGGTTTTATATTTTTGTTTTCTATTTTTAGTCTTGACTGTGTGCCTTCAATGACCCACGACTTTGATTAAATTTGGTGGTCGTGTCGAAACCTTACAAAACGGCACGTGACCGCGGAAAAGAGAGTGAGCGCGACTCAAACCAGGCAGTTCTTGATCGGCGGTTTTCGGGCGGAAAGAAACCGAATTTTGAGCCACGAATTCTGTTCTGGGTAGTTGGGTTCTCATATGTCACATACAACTAAAAACCTCGGCGAGCATAAATACCCTGCTAGTGTCCCTTTAAAACCAGCATTCAAACCATTTGAAAATAAAGATGGCAAACGCCGGTCATTCTTTGTTGATCTTTGAAAACAAAACTTACAAATAAATTGTTTTTGTTTGTTTCAAAAAGAAAACAATGCTTTTCAAAGCGAAAAAGAGCCAGGCAATTGAGCATACTGGTTTGCAGTACTTCTACTCAATGGTGTTGCTCACGGCACTGAATTTGACAGTGAAAGTCAATTTGATTCAAGAAAAAAGGAATGAGATATGATATTATTATAGAGGTTGTCACAGGAAAATAAGTTTGATCGGTTGGCTGTGTGCGCAGAGCTGAAAACGCTCGCAGTAAGTAATGAAAAATGCTGTCAGTGCAATGACTCGTCGCCGCGATATAGGGGAGGCTTATTCAGAGTGGGCTCAAAAATCCAATGACACTTCATGGCTGCTGGACTTCCAGACGCACTAACTAAATAGAGGCTCTCTGCTGTCCTTGTTAAAGGGGCACTGACACCCCAAAGGTCGTATTTTTTTATTGTCTAAAACGATGCAAATTGCAGTCATAGGCACGCAAAAAAAAAAAACGCATTGCGAAAAAAAAATTTTCTTACGCGCGCGTGCGCCTTTTTATTTTTAGCGTTTGATTCTCCCGCCTCTCGCCTCCTCGCTTCTTTTTATTCGTGACGTCAAGAATAATGAAATTTAGAAGCTTTGTAGGCGACATCTCTATAACATTTAATAACGGCAATCCTAAAACATGTTTTTTAACACAATTACGAACGCACTACGGCCCTTCTTTTTGAAATACCAAAAATCGGGAGTTCGTTGTGGTGCCGTCTCCTGGATTTGTATCCTCCCACGGAAAACAGGCGACACCGCTCAAAACCGGTCCGCCAACGCCAAGGCCGGCGCTCGCTTCTTTCCTCCTCGCTTTGGGTCGCCATGGCAACAGCAGGGAGTTGTGAAAGAAAGTGGACTCTCAGGGCTCCGCAATATTTGACGTCAACGTGCCGGCGCGAATCGCGCAGGAACTTCGAATTCGGCATTTGGAAATTGTTTTTTTACTTCACAAATACTGAATTCACAAATTTCAAATTTTGAGGGTAATGTCCCGGCATCGTTTTCAATCGTTTTGGATAATAAAAAAAAATGTGATTTTGATGTGTCAGTGCCCCTTTAATGCCAGCACTGTGTGCGGTCACGTACCAAGTTTTCTTGTAGTTATGCGGAAAAGTTTTGCGACCAGTAGTGTATTGAAGGACTCTGACTACTTTATATCATTGTGTGATCTAATCTTGTCATCTTATTTATTATTTGAGAAAGAAAACTAGCTTTATGTTTGGTCTGAAGCAGTGGTGTAGCCACAAATTCTTTTTTTTCCGTGGGTGGTGTAATGAGTTGGCGTGGAGAATAACATTGGGCACATAGGTTTTATTGCATATTGGGAGGGGGGGCACTGAAACCCCAAAGCCCCATGGCTACACTCCTGACTTGAAGCTCTTATGCATGGCAGCTACGGTCATTTCTTGCTTCTCCTAAGTTTGGTTTTTATTGTGTTCCCATCAATTGGCTTGTGCTCTTTTTCTCTCCATGTTTTCTTCTGCTTCTTTTTCTTTTTGTTCTTTCTTTTTCTGATTCTGCATTTCCTCTGTTCCAGAACTAGCTGTGACAATCTTTCTCTCATTTAGGTAATGCCTTTTCTATGTTGAAAATCTGAATTTTTTTAAAGCTCAATTCTACTTTCTACTTTTATGCTGTGTGTGTCACACTAACCTGTTTGCTTCTTGTTTCCCATTCATGGCATGACCTGATCTAGTATCTTTTTTTTCTCTTGCTTTAGCCGTCGGCTGACAGTTATGTTTGTCAAATGCGAGTTGTTTTATATTGCGTAAGCAATAACATTTTAGTAAATAGAGTGAGTTAAGTAAGTATCTTCCTAATCCATGTTTTAGTCTGAGCCATCGCTTCATTGGAACAAGCACTCCTACAAAATATGTGCACACTTGACGCTATCAGGGGACCAGATGAATGGTTTCCATGTTCTGGGTCATGATAGTCAGTTCGTTTGAAACTTGAAATTAAGAGGCATGACGAGTTAATGACTCCTTATGTTTTATGTTACACAGGTTTGGTTTCAGTTTGGAACCTGTTTCTTCATACATTCCACATTTGCACTAATTATCGTCATTCCATTTTTGTGGAACTTTTTGAACTGGGTTTTGTTAACCTTGAATCATGGCAGGTTGCAAACTCACAAGTGGAGTGAACGTGTGATGCGAAAGGTGATGCGGACCAACTGGAAGATTCATGGAGGAAGCATCAGCAAGATCTCCTGGATCATGGTGACACCCCGTGTTGTGGTGGGTGCCATCAAGTGGGCTGGGGGCACGCTTTAACTGTAGTTGCAGTTTTTAACAGTGCCATATTGTAGTGCATCGCACATATGTGCCCTCCTCTGAGTTGTTCCTGGTCTTGAAAATGCATTCAGTCATGTTTATATGGCCCTTTTCCTTGTGAAGTTTGGTTACTCGGTATGCTTTTAGCACTACCTTTTAAAGAAAAATCAGCATAGTCTTGCACCTCAATACAGCTGAGTGGCATTTTCTGAAAATACAGCCCTTTAGTTCAGAGGTGTGGCACCCTAGGAGACGGGCATTCCTGTTTCACCATGTTTTTTTATGCACCTTTCTACCAACTGATGACAGTGCAGCATCACTTCCAGGAGCACAGAATGGCCGAAAACATCTCTTACTTTTATAATTTCAAGACATCTGGACATAGTTCATACTTCAAACTCCAAATGATTATTAGTTTATTAAATTAGATTTTTAAATCGAAAACTCTAATTCGACCCTCAAATTGAATGTTTCTTTTGTTGACTATATATTTTTTTAATGCCGTAAGATGTTTTTAAAATTAGTTTTATACCGGCTGCTTTCGCTCCAATGAGTGCACTCCCCTTACAGCACGGGTGCACTGCAGAGAAGCAACACCTGTGGCAATGAATGAATGATGGGGCTTTTATGGCACAGCAGCAACATAGGAACTAGTGCACCAAACACATGACGAGTACTTGTGGCAATGACGTCAAGTCGTCACTTTCTTACAGAGCTGTTTACGGGCAGGCATGTTTGTTTTTGTTTGGACATTGGTTTGGCCTGTTGGCACCTGTAACATATGCTGTTTCTATGTTTGCAGACACTTTTTCTTACAGTTTGGTGAACGCTAAAGGTGCAAAATATGTGGCCATAAGGAATCCCTGTTTGCACTTGACACATGGTTTAAGCCTATCAAACTTACAATGTATCAAGTAAAAAAATATGTGATTGCAAGTCGGATGCAGATACATACGGGAGGCACTCACTTGATCGAATGACGTTTTAGCGAACGCCCACGTTTCATCGAACGACACTTTAGCGAATAGCCGGACGCCGCGAAGCGGCGTTTTCGGGTGGGCCAAGTGAGTTCATATTTTTGTAATGAGTTGCCGCAGACTGTCGCCGCGAAGCGGCGTAAAGCGCAGCGCGATGGATGGGTTAACGCGCGCCCCCGTTATTCGTTAAAACGGCCATTCGCTCAAATGTCGCCGTTCGCTAAACTGTCATTCGCTCTTGTGATATGGACCCGATACATACAATGACCGACAAAATTTGTGAATGCCATTCAGACTTGGATATAAAGTTTGTGGATGTTGCTGAGATACAAATAATGAAATCCATGCAGGGCTCTATCCATCGATAAAAAAAAGTTTAGTTAGAATTGTTTTTGGGCCCTGAGGGAACAATAAATGAAAATGAATTGAAAACCAAAAGTGCTAATAGACTGATCTCGCTAAGTGTTCCACGTGACGCCGCCATCTCTATAGTTCACAAGAGGCAGGTAGCAGTGCACGAGACAGCTAGTGTCATCTCGCTCTCTGCTACATGCGCTACATGCGCATGTAGAAAGACTACAGTTCCCAGGATGCATGCCAGCAGCGGTGGCACAATGAAACTGGCTGGTGAGATCAGTGTATGAAATCAATAAAAGAATCTTTATTATTTTGTTTCAGTTTTACTAATTATTGTAAGAGTAGCCTTTCTTTTTGGCACTTTGGTTTCATTGAAATAAAAGTCGAAACGCAGGCAAGCTGGTGCACAGTCGCAACTTTTTTTTTTCTTTGTCTCAAGGTTTTTAATTACGGTAGTTTCATTATGATTTCTTCAAGTAGTAGGAGCGCAGCAAATGTGACCAATGTGCGCCTTCTGGCATGAAACAGGACCGTGTTTCGGTTTCTAAAGAAGGCAGTCTGTCTCTTTGCTTGGCTCTACCCTTGTGCTGTTTAGCTTATATTTTTGTTGCCTTCAGTTTCAAGTTGTAGCTCCCATGTTAGGGAAACTGCCAACCTCTCGAAAATAAGTGGATGTCAAAAAAAATGGCAGAGGTAACTGCCAGCACACTTGGGCCTCCTTGTTCCCAACAGGAGGAGGCTCGGCGCCATTTCAACTGCTCGTACCTGGAGGGAGCAGAGGTCGAGGACCAGGGAGAGGATGGCACCAGGCTGACTCACTGGGAGAAAAGACTCTTTGAGGTGCTCTCGAGCTTCCTCAATGAATCTCGTCATCACACTTATCTTCATCCCTCAGTTCCTTTTTACTAACCTTGGTACTCTCCATTGTACATCGTAGGCTAGGGCAAGGGCTCTATATTATCCAACCTTTTTTGACGATTACCCCATTGTGTTACGTCCCTCTGGCCGTGGAACTCGCCTGCACAGACTGCATTAGTGTATTTTTCACAGCTTTTACGAATCTCTCATATGCATCACAGTGATTGTTTAATAAAATTCAAGAATATAAAGTCCACATGAATTCAGAAATCATAGTACAAACGGAATATCTTTAATGTGTTCTTATGACACACCAACAATATTGTTGAAAAGATCTGTTGCTCCTTGTTCTGCACCAAGTGTATTGTTTGCTAGAAGTTTGTTACTTTCTGTGCTAACTGTCTGCTCTGCGATTTCTCCTCAGAATGAGGCAATGACAGGGACTCACACTCAGAACCCAGTGTACTCCAGGATCACTTTAGCTCTCATGGAAGACACTGGGTAAGTGAGGATATCCCTAAGCATCGCATGTTCGGGTTATTGCCTCGAAAGTCTATTGCATGCCTGTGCATTTTTTTTCTCCTTTTTTTGTGTGTGTATTCAGTTGGTACCTTCCCAACTATGATCAAGCACAACCTCTCAAGTGGGGCCACAATTTGGGCTGTGACTTTGCCTTAAAGAGCTGCAAGGACTGGATCGACAGCCGTCGTGCAAGGTGTGTATGGCGCTATTGTAGATTGTACGATGAGCTGGTCAGTAGAGTCCATACTTATTGCTTCTTGAACCCTCTGCCAATCTGCGTGTGCTGATTTGATGCAGCCTTTGAAAGCAGTGGCATATGTAATTTTCTATTTTAAATTTGGAAGTGTCATGGGCAAAAGACTATGGAAGAATGATACCATGTGTGTTTCTCACTGCGCTGAGAAAAAGTGCAGATGCTTACAAAAGGCCAACAGTCATTAGCTCTCAAACTAGAAAGGGCAAGTTCCTGCATTTATTCTGCAAATAACGAGACTAGAAAATTGTATGTTAATTTTGTGACACAGCCGTTGTGTCATTTGCCTGAGAGTGTATAGGCGTAATGAACCTTTTCCCTTCGTCTGAAGCCAACCTTGAAATCGTTCCAGGGGCGTGACCATCCATCCCTTTTGTGACAAGGTGAAGAAGGACCCCCTCGAGACTGAGTGCACGGAGAGCCGCGACTCTGTTGCTCTCTGCAACCTGGTGGACCATGGGGAGGAACTGGAGCCAGTATTTCAGGTGTGCAACTGCCAGCACATTCACTTCTTTCTAAGACGTCTCCAAGGTCAGGTCAGATGACAGGACTCCACTTGCTGCCTGCTTGGGTCATTATGCAAAAGTACAACCACTCTAAAGAAAAGTCTGATATAGTAAATGCATGTATTCATGACTAACGAAGAGCTGGGATAGGTTTGTAATATGTACGGGTACCGTGGACAAATTGTCACAGATGGTACAGACGCCGATGGTAAAAGTAGCAAACTCGTTTACTGAAGTGAACTCGTGCCTACAAAGCCAGACAACATTCCGGCATCTTTCACAGCGTCCACTTTAAAAGATAAAATCCAGGCCCCCGGAATTAAAATCGAATGCGGAAACAACTTCACTACAATCATGCAGTATGAGCTGGCAAAAGAGCTTGTTATAAGGAGTTAGTGCAGTTAACCCCTTAACTGGGGAGCGTGTCTTTAGACGCGGATCAATTTTTACCGCAGCTTGGGGGGTGCGTCTATAGATGCACTGCACTTTCTTTGCTGTTGGGAAGCGCGTCTTTAAACGCTCGCTCGTTTTAGCGTTTAGGGAGGATGCGCCATCTATCCTCGTGCACTGGAAACATTTTGTTTTTAAAACGATGCATACGTGGTAGCACAAAAAAAGGTTGAAGACTCCTGTATGACACTTTTGACTGTCTGTTTGGAAAATGGCATCCAGCAAATGCTAGCATCTCTTGACCGAGGAAGAAATTGCTGAGTTGCTGCAAAATACTCACAAGGACTTTGACTGCAATGTTGATTTGTCGAGTTCAAGTAAATGCTCCTCGGGATCTGACATGAAAATTGAAGATGACACAGTGGTACAATTGTTTATGGCAATGTCATCAACTCTGAGGTCTGTTGCAACCTAGCATGACGCCGGCATGGTGAAAGGTCAATTTCAAATGATGGTAAGAAGTGCCGGGGTGCACATTCAGCTTGATATAAAATTTGTTTTAAATTTTGAGATTATTGTTAAAGCTTGAAGAGCTGAAACACTTAAAAAAAACTCCTCATTTTACAAATATTTTTGGTCAAAAAAGTCCCCAGTTAAGGGGTTAAGAGTCAGTGCATGCAGTTAATTTTTTAATTTTATATTGTATATTGGATTTCGGGTCACCCTCAAAAGTTGATGTACCTATGCTCAACATAGTGTCAATCTTACTGTTGCACTTCAATCCATGACTAAATTTATTTAATCACAAAATATAGTAAAAAAAAAAAAGATATCTTTGTTTAGGAAGTATGCCAGATTAAGACAAGTTAACTGCCCCAATTCTTCTACAAACTCTTGCAGAACTTTGATTCCATTCCCGGCGTTCCATCCAATGAGCTTAGCAGGCATGGTGGGTCAGTCATACTCGCCGATTACTGCCCTTATATCCAGGTGAGTAACATTTCTTTGAGGGTTGACTGAAGAGGTGATTGGCAGTTGAATCTTTCAATTTTCTGACCTCAGTATTTCAAAAAGTTAACTTAAAGAGAGGTTGATTCTGGGTTTGTCGTTTTACAGTGATTACTCAGTCCCTGCACCCCGACTACTACAAAAGCCAAAATTATGTTTACACATGGCTTTTTTTTTTTTTTTCAAACATTGTGACATGCCCCTTTTCCTGAGATAAATCCTAGAAAAGTGGAAAAAGATCACACGTTTATGATAGAGAAAAATACCATGTCTGATTGCAATTTCGGGGGATTTCTAGGGTATTCAGGGTGCATAAGCAGAGTTTGTGCCATAAAAAGATGAGTTTAGAAACTACTTTAGTGCCTTCTTAAAGGGCAACTCTGCTTCATTTTTGATATTTAGAAAACTATGCTCTTCAGTATCATATAGGGAGACCCCATGTCAAATATTACAATCTAATTTCGTTTATATATTTAATAAACTGGCCAGCAAACTTTCAAATGAGCCAAGTCGCCGAAATCTGCCAACTCTAGCGTGCGACGTGAGGTGCAATCGTCAGCGCAGTCAATGCGACTGAGTTGGAGCGGCCAACGTTGAGCCACTACGTCAGGCATGTTGACGTCATTCTCACGTTTTGTTTGTTTTTACTTAGAGCGAAACTGAACGATGACGTCATGAGTTTTTCCTCCCGGCGTTGGCTCAACGGCGTCCACGTGATCACCGTAACGCGGATGTGCTAGTTTGTGCTGCCCTGGGCGCTTATCGGTCTGTTTCTCCGCTCCCCCTCTCCTCTTTCGTCTTCTCCCCTTCCTCCTCTCCCCCGTGTCATCACCGTCCACGCCATGCGAAGCAACTTGCCTGCGTCGCGTGTCCCGTACCTCGCCCCAACGAACGTCACAAGACCACGTGGTTCGACGTGACGTGGCCACGACTCTGACGACTTGAGACCAATGTTGCCTGACGCAACCGAAGTTTCGGTTTCGGTATCAGCTGATGTTTAAATTAAGATGGCACAAATAATATTCCACATTTCGCGAATCCGAGGACGTAGAGCTGTTTAGTAGTGCTTTGTGAAATGGAATCACACGTAAGCCTAAATTTTTCGGAATTGAGCGGAGTTGCCCTTTAATAATCATTGTTATGTCCTTAAAGTGCAAAAGGTTTTGGAAATTCTGTCATGATAATTTTAACCTCAGACTGAGGCAGAAGGAGGAAAACATTTTTACGGTGGTAGAAAAATGAACAGGGACAAACATGTCTCTAACTCAGCTAATGATTTTATTTAAACTCATCATGATAAACTTTCACGAGTTTGCCTGTGCACTCACTGTATTTTAGTTTTGACTATGTATGTTATTGCTATATGACAAAGCAGTTTTTGCTACCTAAAGTTTTCTTGCCTTTTTGATGCAAAACAGGACAGCAGTTAAGGGGCACTGACACCCCAAAGGTCGTATTTGTTTTTGTTGTCAAAAACAATGCAAGTTGAAGTCATAGACAAGCAAAAAAATACCAGAACACAAAAACAAATGTTCCCACGTGCGTGCATGCCTTTTTATTTTTGGCGCTCTTCTCTCCCACTACTCATCTCTTCGCTTCTTTTCATTTGTGACGCAATCGATTATGAAATTTAGAAGCTTTGTAAGCAACATTTTTATCATATTTAATAGCGGCATTCGTAAAACATGTTTTTTTGCGCAATTGTAAATGCACTTTTCGAATTCTTTTTGAAATACCGATTTTTATCCTCCTATTGAAAACATGGCGGCACTCGACACATGTAACACTGAGGATGATTGGACGGAGGATAATCGAGGAATAGGACGAAGTTGTCTTTTTTAGGTGCCCGGCGACCTCTCAGACTTCAAAAAGGAAATCGTCAAACAACAGGGTTTGATGTCTGCGAACCACAGTTTCAGTTGTGACTTCACATTGGCAGTCTTTCGCGCAGAACCGGTGCAACGTGGCCCCTCGTGTCGCTCACAAAAGTCCACTGCGCTTCCTCTTCGACCTTACATCATATTAAAGAATTTGAGATTGCTGAAAGAGCCCCAAAAAGAACTTCAAATTCGAAAGTGAGGTGTCGTCTACTCACAGCGATAGGTGGCACGCACAAAGCGGTTGATTGCGGTACGCGGGCAAACACGACACAGAGGCATCGGAGAAATTCGAGTTGCAGGACGGCTCAATCTTGTACGTCACTGCACTGGCGTGGATTGCGCGGGAACTTCAAATTCGGCTTTTGGAAATTGCTTCTTTACTTCACAAATACTGAGTTCCCAAGTTTCGAATTTTTAGGGTAATGTCCAGGTATCGTTTTGAATTGTTTCGGGTAATAAAAAAAAATATGATTTTGACCTGTCAATGCCCCTTTAATAACTCACTCGGGTCAAGTAATTGAGAGCAAGTTGAGAGTTTGTGCCACCCTCAGACCTCAGACACGTGCACTTCGTTTTCAGGAGTTTACCTGGAACTCAAAGAACACAGTAGTCCGGGGCTCGCGGTGCCAATTTCCAGAAAACAATCCACGTGAGTTGCACTTTATGATTGCATATTGCATGTGTTCAGACATCTTGTACCATCTGCGGGCTTTTCTTGTGTTGTAACAATACAGCGCGCTCAACTGTTAGATATTACACTCAAGCGGTGGCCGCGACTGATATCACCGCTGTCTAACAAGGAGAGCATTTCTGCTGCAGAGAATAAAGCAGCTTTTCCCGAGACTGTCACCACTCCCCAATACAAGTGACATGACCTCTTCATTTTTACAGCGTCAGCTGTATTGAGCTTGTTGTTCTGGGTGAGCCTCACAGTTGGCTTTGGCACGAGAGAGGGCACTGCCTGCTCTTCCATGCCTTCGGTCGCCCGTTCCTCGATCGGTCGCTCGATATCACCCTGGCTGTTGGGATGGAATGCATTAACTGTTCTGTTTGTGATCGATTGTGGTTTACGTGAGACCTGGTGTCTTTGCCGGCGGTGGCGGTGGCGTCGTACCTGGACAGTGACCCGATTGCCTTCGAGGTATGTGTTATGTGCCTGCATAGTGTTTGTGCTGGCAAGATCCCGAACCTCACCACGTGCTACAGGTGTGCATATGCGCCCATGCCAGAGGGTCTGCCTCAATTGGATCTCGTGGGCAAGCATTTGATATCCGCTTGGCGCCCTAAGCTATTGGTGCAAGCATGGGGCAACCAAAGCATACGTCCGAGCAAGCAGATGCTGCTTTGTGGCGTAAATGTGCCCATGACAGAGAATGTCATCGATGTGTAGGTGCCGACAGTGTCACCCTTGGTGTTAGGATGGAAAGCATTTGACGTGAAATTGTGACATGTGTATGTGTGTGCTTCTTGTAATAAACTAAACATTTCAAGATCATTGTATGCTATATACTTAATAGCTAAAAAGAAAAGGCTAATTTTAGGTAGTGTTAACATTAAAAAAAAAAAAAATTAAGATGCAATATTGGTAAAATGTTGAACATCTCCAGGATTCAATAGCGCCTAAATTTATATAATTTAGATCCATGTTGACGAACTCAATAAAATGTAAAATTAAATAATGCTGCAACTTTATCGATATGTACGCAATATCACCGAAATGAAATTTCCCTTCATTCACCATGCAAATCATTGCAATATCACACCAGCTGACACTGTCCATTCGCATCACACGACGTGATTGTCTGTCCAATCTTATTTTTCCTTTGGCTTTAGCTTTAATTTCTTTTTCCCCTCTCTGTTTAGTGTTTGATTACAAGGGAATTGCTGTTGTCATATTTGATATGATCGTGTGGACCCCATCAGCATTTACTGTGCATGGCTATCTTGTACCGTGAAATATAGAACATTCTTTGATAAAAGCAAACTTAGTGTTAACAAAAAAGAAAGTAAAAAGTCTGCACCTTTCGTTACATTATTTCCTAAGCAACCATTGGAAAGAAGTGTAGTGTGAACTGCCAGACTGTGCCAGCAAATGATGTTGCATAACAAATCTCAAGAACTGATCTTAGAAAAAGAATTCTATGTTTACTATTTACATAGTCTGCGAGAAGTTACTGTTGTGACTTGGTTTTCTTTCATTCTTGGTCAGCCTCCACCCTTTGCGCAACCGCTTTTTTCCTCGTCTTTTTTTTATAAATTGTTGCGCGCTGGTTTTTGCCAGGGTTGGCCAGTATCACAATACAAATCGATAGTATTTCCCAAATATATATTTATATTTCTCTATCGCAATGCCATTTTTCAACTATATTTTATATTTCTGTATCGAAAGACATTCTCAGGTGTATTCTTGGTATTGCGATACTATTAAAGCCTATGTATTTTGTTACAATTTTAAAAGAATTGCTGACCTCCACACAGTAAGTCAAGACCAAGTTTCGTCAGCGACCTTTTCTGTCTCTGACCGCACATGACTCCCTTCTTCATTGTGCAAAAGTTAACTAATGTGGTCCCGCATTTTAGGTGGTCAACTATCCCAGTCAAGTCCAAAAGTGGAAGGCTTTGTTGGCACGCCCAGCTAACAGATAAAACAATGCGGGTTCCTTGAGCTTTATTCCACGGTGACGTTATAAGGACACTGCTGAAAGGGACATCTGGATTGGACATAATAATAGTGACTTCTCGAGGTTATTCAGAAAAAAGACGAGAGATGCCAAAACAAAACAGCGCTCGAGCCACGGTGAAAACAATCGCTTGCTTCCCTTACTACTTCCCAAAATACAAAATGTTAATTCTATGGTAAATTTGATTTGAGCTTGATTGAGGCTCCAACATGCAGTGAGAACTAGCTTGCTGGTTTAAAAACAAAATCTCGTATTCTAGGGCATACCTCGGCAAACTCACTCATGAACTCGCTCACTCACGCTCACTCACACTCACCGCGTGATTGTGAGTGGCTGTGAGCGAGTTCGTGAAGTTTGAAGAGTTCATGATGTGATTGTGAGTGACTTCATGAACTCGGATCAGCTCATGATGTGATCGTGAGCGACTTCATGAGCGTGATGAGTTCATGACGAGACGGTGAGTGACTTCGTGAGCGTGATGAGTTCATGATGGGGTGGTGAATGACTTCGTGAGCGTGATGAGTTTGTGATGGGATTGTGAGTAGCATCGTGAGCGTGATGGGTTCGTGATCTGATGGGGAGTGAACCTGTGAAATCTGAAACGTTCGTGATTGTGAGTGAGTTCATGAGTTCATTCAGACGCTGAAATGAGTTTGGCTGTTGGCGTTTCTTGCGAAAGTTGTGCGGCTTGACTTTGGAGAGCTGAGTGGCGCCGCGAAAGAGGGGGGGGGGGGGGGGGGGGAGGGATGTTGATGGCAAGGGTGGTGCGGACCGCGCGGGTGGTGGAGTGTTTTTTTTTTTGTAAACGTGCGACTGTTGTGTTTGGTTGTGTTTTTATTGCGTTTCCGTGCTTGAGCAGATGGATGAGCTTGAGGGGCGTCGCAGAAGCAAAGCTGTAGAGAGGCTTTTGTGTAGTCGGCATGGATTACGGCGCCTTCCGCGCGTAAAAGAGGAGAGTCGTGGGCTGGGGAGGTGGCGTTCGCAGTGCAAGGAGCTGAAGTTTGTTTGCCAGCAATTTCATGGCGATTGATTGAAAGCACGTTTATTGCCGAGTTGTGTTCGCGCGGCCTTTGGAACGTTTGAAGTGCTGTGTGCATCACGCATATCGGGCTGGACAAAAACCGGCGATAGCGGGGCTTGTATACCTATAGAAATGGAGTCATCGAAGATAGCGGGCGAGAATATTTACTTCCACTGCCACAAGCTGGGAGGGGGGGGGCGTGGCACTAGAAAGGTCGCGTTTAGCGCAATGTCTAGCGTTACGTCCTGCGGAACCCGAAATAAAAATTAAAGTTACGTCCGAGGTAAGTTTACCCCAAGGCTGCGAGTTGCGTCCGACGTAACCCAATATGAAAATTAAAGTTACGTCCAACCGAACACGAAATAAAAATTAAAGTTACGTCCGACCGAACTCGAAATAAAAATTAAAGTTACGTCCGACCGAACTCGAAATAAAGAGTGAAGTTACGTCCGATGGAGCCCGAAATAAAAATTGAAGTTACGGTAAATGGATAGGTGGGCTAGTAGGTAGATGTTTAACTTGCGAAGCGCCTAAAAAACGAGGACACGAGGACGACGAGATAGGACCAAGCGCTTTTAACCGATTAACGAATGCTGCATTGGACGTAACATAGTAATAATTCACGATATGTTTTCGTTTACATCATGTATAGGTCGTAAAGTGTAACATTCAGTAAGGTTGCGTTGGTTACTCAGGACGTAACTTAAGCTTTTATTTCCGTCTACTTTAATTTTTACATTAACTTTAATTTTGATTTCGAATTCCGTCGGACGTAACTCGAAACCTTCGGATAAAATGACTTTGGACGTAACTCTAATTTTTATTTTGGTTTCCGTCGGCAGTAAAGCTAGAAGCAAGAAACGTGGTGATCACGTTTCCGAGCACGAGTCCACGGACAAAACGATGTCCGCGCTCAACTCCTGCTATACTTCGTCTAACCTTAGCATGGACTACTGTTAACCGGGAATGCTAAAAGCGCGAGCTAGTTGCTTTGGATGAAGCTTGGTCGTCTGCACGAGACGATCTGCAGGCTGGTATTTATCGCACAGAAATCTTACATACTGTATTCTTTTAACGACATACTTGTGAACCTGATAATGGGTTCACAATCGTTTCCTAACTAACTCGCCTAGCTGTATTCTCTCCATTCTAAAAAGCTATTAACAAAACGATATGTTTTATAACCTAGCATCGAACACTTTAGTATCTTAAAGGTGGCATAAAACCGTTTTCGCCTGTTCCGGCTTGCGTGCAATTTGGGGTTGTTTTTTTGCACATGTCTTTTTCGCACAAGCATGCCTTTATGTTTGATACACGTTGTACGATTTTAAGCAAGCTTTTGCTGTTGCGTCGTCGCTTATGCGGCCATAAAAGTGCGGTGGAAGCTACGGTGCTTAACGTTAGAGCTGAGACATCGCAAGCGAAATCTTATCATATTAATTGGGTTTTAATTCCCTTTCCACATATACTTGAAATTTTTGATTGCAAGGTCACTCGTGCGGCAAGAAGATATTAATAATAAATCGTGAATGGCACTTGAACTACAAGCTATCTTTACTGGCTTTATGCCACACGAGTACGAATATTACATGCACAATCGCACAACGTAATGTCGGTTAATTCGGAGACATTCCGAAAGATCCCCAGATGGTCGAAATTAATCCTCAGCTCTCCGCTGGGGCGTACAGATGCCCTTCGTCGAACTCTTAAAGGTTTTTTTTTTTTTTTTTTTTATTTGAGGCGCGTGATTGAGTTGTGCATTGGCAGCACACGCGGACGAATGCAGTTCTCACATAAGCCAGAAGTACAAGCAGCGACACATACGCCTATATCCTTCGATAAATAACGATTCGTGATTCCTAAAAGTCAACAAACATTGTTCTTCAGACGTGCGAGAAACGTAAAGGCAGTACGTGCTAGAACGAAAACATTGTGTCTCGATCGATAGCTCACTCCAATACAATTCAGTGCTGCCCCGCCATTTGTTTCCAAGAGCCCACGAAGCGTGTACCTGCTCATTGGCACTTCTTTTTTTTTTCGAAAATAAGACATATGAAGCACATCGAGGGTTAAAGTGCCTCAATGTTGCTTGTGCGCTGCGCCAGCACAGCATCATTGAGGAACTCTATCAAGGGGCTTTAACCAGCACACTTACAAGCAGGGTGGAGAAAAAAGGAGTTTATTTAAATCACATAATTTCTTGCTGCCTCAATTTGTATGAACCCTTTCCGCCAAATATTATTCTGAAAAACAGCATTTATTTTGATTTGGAGTTTCCGTCATTCGGTAGTTTTAATTTAAACGCTTATGTGTGACTGACATTGAATAATCAGAAGGGAAGAATCATTTCTTGGCACGGCGAAGAAAAAAATAAGTGGTCCACGTCTGAGGTGAGTACAAATCAGTCTATGAGGAAACTGCTTGAACATTAAACACTTACACGCAGACAGGGGAGGATATACACAGACATGACCATCAACTATTTAATACTTCTTCTTCCTTCACCTCCTCTTCTTCGTAGTTCCTTCGAGCATTCCATGATTGCGAGATAGAATGGGGGGATCGGTGGCCGAGTGGGCTAAAGCGCACAGCCTGCTCGACGCGCGTGGAGCGAAAGCTCGCGCTGCACCGTACCGGCGTGCGGTCGTGCATCACTACTGAATGGTGCACGTTAAAGACCCCAGGCTAGCGGTTATACTCCGCTGGCTAAATTGCTCATCTACAGTGGGTAACAATGTCGCCATGTTCTGGCAGACTAAACTCCTGCAGTATAAACAAAACTAATTTGTTTTTTTGTTTTGAGATAGAATGCAATTTTAGAATTTTTTTTTAAAGAACAAAGCATAATAAGGAGTACATACACATATAAAAATAAATAACAGACGAAAGAAAAATAAAAAATATGTACTACACAAACGAAAACTAAAAATTAAAAAAAAAAATTCTGCAAATGCCCAAGCAGATTCCATACATTTCCAATTTCGACATCAGTATCCCGTGGATGTTTTTTGAGAAATTCTTCCCATGACTGCCCTCACGAGCAACGTTACTGGAGCAAGCTCAGTTTCACAGCTCCGCCTGTGACGTGGGCTCAGTGGCGGTCACGAGAACTCGCAGCGAGTCGAGTCTTGCTTCCGGATCGTCTAGCCCGCGAAGCTTCAATAGCAATACTCGAGTTTGAGCGAGTTGGCAATTCATACTAATATTTCACAGCGCAAGGAAACAGGCGCGCACAAAAATAAATTTCAAACACTCAAAGAACACTCACAACGCGCCGACTCTGATCTCTGTGGTGTGTTACACTTCATCTTCATTACCTTTTTTTTTTCTTTCTTTTGCTAATATACACATGCAAGTAAAAAATAAAAGGAAGAAAAGAAAAAGAAGCTCTCAACGCGGTGGTAGTAGACGACGCGCGGGACCGGGAAGCAAGATCCGACTGCAGCGCCGCTAGTTTTCGTGACCGCCACCTGGGCCACTCGCCTTTGCAGGCTCTGGCCTTTGCAGGCGAGAATAGGGAGCTGCGAAACTGAGCTTGCTTTAGTAACGTTGCTCACGAGTCAGTGGCCCTACTAGTCCAAAGCCGCAACACACCGTAAAAATTGTTTTTACTTTGTGTTGCTTGTGCGGCTTTCCCAGAGCATTTCGAATTCCCGCTACTCCTATAGCTCTGTCAGCGCAAGTGAAGAGATTAAAAATATCAGGAGAGGGCTCTCCTCCACAAGATAATTGCTTGCGGAAGCCACGGGGTGACGTCATTCTCTTTTTTAATCGTGTTTTCTCATTTATAAAATATTGCGTTAAACATTACTTGTACTTTCAGTTGAAACATGGCCCACTCTAAATTGGCCACTCCACGTCCGTTGTGACATGTCTTTCAACACAATCAATTGCTCAGACTTCCCTATCTGCAACGATTTCCAAAAATAGTACCGTCTTCCATTCCTTCTTTTTTTCTATAAAATTAATTTTCTATGTTCGCACTACTGCTACAATTCAACACCGCTGAAAGCGTTTGCCATGCTGAGACTGCGAACACGTGCTCTAAATTGCCTGACCCTTTTTGATTGAGAAACCATGCTTTTTTTTTAATACAAACAAACGAAAAGAAACAAAAAGCTTTTTTGTAAGTCTTGTTATTTAGAGATTGATAAAAAGCGTTCGGTCTTTTTAATACAGTGATGAATTACAGGCGTAATAGAATACCGATGAACGAGAAATGTTTCCATAACGCTCCTTGTATCCTCAAATTTCAGTGGGCTCGCTCAGAGCGAAGTGGCAAAGCGAAAACGAATCTCCATATTGTGGTATCTCGAGGTCGGCTTATTTTAGCTATATTTAGCGGATCACAAGCTCCACCCATCTGCGGAACTTTCTCAGCATATGGCTCGGATACATGGAGCTCTATGCCGCTAGTTAGCGAAAACTGGCAAAAATGGGTCCCAGTTTCCCAAGACCACTTTAGAAAAAATAGCGTTTGAAGAAGATAACGGTTGGTTACCTTGGTTCGTACCTCTAGCGCTGCATGTTGGCGGAGAATGAGCGTTCAACAAAACATTGAAAAAAAGATTGAGGAGGGGGGGCGGGATTTGCCGTGTATATATATATATATATATATATATATATATATATATATATATAAAGTAATGAATTGGCACTTCGAAACGTATTTTAAATTTATATATATGTATATATAAATTAACATACTCCTTCATTCACAAAATTCGTTTCGTGATACTAAACAAGCCTGCGGATAGTCCGCACAACGTAAAATTTCAACGCGTATACACGTTTGCAAGTCCGGTCTCAGGGCGCCGCCATCTTCCTCAGTGGGGTGCGCTCTCGGGAGCGGCCATAATCCGATTACGACGCCTTAGCAAGGCTTCGTAATCGGATTATGACTGGTCCAAGCGCACCCCAGACAGGCAAGATGGCAGCGCCCTGAAGCCGAACTTGCAAACGTGTATAGTTCGCGGTCTGCACTCCAGAAACGACGTTCGATGGGCGGAAACAAGACGGCGGACAAGAGTTTCGGGTCTAGACTTTCGAGTCCGCAGCGCTTGCAACCATGCTGGCTGCAGCACGCACTCCCTGCTTGTACCGGAGCGGTTTTCCCCGTGGGATGGGGGGCCGGGGACAACAGCAAGTTGTCGTCCCGAATCTGGTTGACCTTGGGAAAGCGGGTTTCGCGCTCGGTGCAAATAAAAGGGGAAAAGAAAAAAAAACTTTCGGGGGTTGGCTTTTTTGTATATATAGCTTTTTTCTTCTTTTTAGTAGTGCTGTGGTGCCGGCGTGGCGTGGATGCCTCTTGCTCAATGTTAAAAAACTAAAAAGAAATACTGGGAACAAACCAAAACAAACATTAGAGCCGCAGGCGCCGGCCCGCTCGGCTTGTAGCGAGGAGGCCCCTCAATGAGGGGATGCGAGACCGTGATTGTGAGTGGCTGGCCGTGAGTGTGAGCTCCTCATGAGTGTGAGTAGCCGTGATGGGGTCGTGAGTGGGGCTTCCTCTTCATGAGTGTGAGTAGCCGTGAAGGCGGCGACTCCGAGGGGCCGTGATGTGAGTGGCTGGCCGTGAGTATGGTCTCCTCATGAGTGTGGGTAGCCGTGATGGGGTCATGAGTGGGACCTCCTCTTCATGAGTGTGAGTAGCCGTGATCGGGGCGACTCTGAGGGGCCGTGATGTGAGTGGCTGGCCGTGAGTGTGAGCTCCTCATGAGTGTGAGTAGCCGTGATGCGGCCGTGAGTGGGGCCTCCTCTTCATGAGTGTGAGTAGCCGTGAAGGGGGCGACTCTGAGGGGCCGTGATGTGAGTGACTGGCTGTGAGTGGGACCTCCTCGTGATTGTGAGTAACCACGATGGGGGCGAGTTTGAGGGTGCGTGATGTGATTGGCTATGAGTCTTTGGCACAGTTGAACTCTGTGATGTGAAGGGCTGTGACTTTTGAATGGTGGTGTACTTTGTGATGTGATTGCGAATGACTTTGATGGGCTGCCAATTTCGGTGATGTGATAGTGAGTGAGTGGGTCCTAAAATGCCGACCTATGTTCTAGGGTATGCTTCTTTTTTGTTCTTCGTATGCCCTAAGGGGTGCACCAAAATTTCCAAAATAATATTTTTATAACAATGTATTTCAGGGTCTGTATTTCATCCCCACCAAAATGTATTCCGGTATTTGTATTTTTAAATACTTTTCTACTTTTCAAATGTATTTCTGATGTGTGTCACAATACATTTTTAGGAATGTATTTTAGTATCAGTATTACAGCAAAGCTGTTGTACGCTAGGATCCGGGAAAAAATGCGTCCACGGATGTTGACAGGAAACGCCCCATTGGTCGTGGCAAGTATGAATAAATAAAAATTAAAAGGGGTGGCAACCATCGTGAGTCAGCTTTCCTTGGTAGTATTGTATAGTGAGGTCCTGATCCTTTGTTGTCATCTCTAGGCATCGTCCTTGAGGTCATCCTAGACGTCGTGCTCTAGGCGGCGTCCTAGAAGTCGTCCTTGAGGTCGTCCTAGACGTCCTCCTCTGGGCATCACCCTAGACGTCGTAAAAATAACAGCTTCTCTGATCTTCCATCTTCACGTGAAGTGGAAGGGCTCTACAATTTCTTTAGCTATATCCGCAGCTATTCGCTCCAAAAAGTAGCCGATGCTTGCGTGTTATATTTAACAGTTGAGCACACTGTCTAGGCCTTCAAATAACCCTTCAGGGCGACATAATTTTGTATCTGAAAATTTTTCTTTTTGATGTGCAGAAGATGAAAAGAACTTTGCCTTGGAGTACTATGGACCAGGTTCCAAGTGTTTCAACCACAACAAGGAAATGTGGGAGGAGAGGACGTGTCACCAAGTGCGTCAGTGGCCACACTGGGGGAGCGGTTGCTACAAGGTGCTGTGCCCCTGGTTTCTTACTAAAGTGTTCACCTAAGGGTAGATGAAACCTATGTTCACATTGCAGTACAGATTGCAGTACATCACACATAACTGTCCTCGAGTGCAGTTACAGTAGACTCTCATTTTTTCAAACTCCAGGAAGCCAAGAATTTTGCTTGAAACATCAGATGTTTGAATTATCATAAGTTCATCTAAATATGTTGCAAGATAAAATTGTGGTTCGTTATATGGATGACTGCACATGCAAAGCCGATATTTCATGATTTCCTGTATGCAGGCCTACTGATCATAAGCAGGTATGCCACACATGAAACATTAATCAAATGTATGAGACATGTTTATTCATCCTTCAGAAATGTTGTCTGTTGTGGACTGTTCAGATAGCACTTAACATTTCAAAACAAAATTCAGTTTGCTCATCCAGAAAAAAAGCTGTCTGTTGTGGACTACTTGCCCCATTGAGCGCGCTTCTCACCGAGCACCGGCGCACTGCAAAGAAGCAACACCCTTTTCGTGGTTGTTGCTTCTCCGCAGTGCATCGGTGCACGGTGAGAAGAATGCTGGACGGGGCCGTGAGAACAAGAAGAATAAATTACGCCAAGGGTCTCTAAACCCGGGCCCGTGGCCTAAGTCCGGCTTGTGGCTGGCCAAGGTCCTTCCAATGAAACCCGGCCTTCAGCCCTCTTCCAGCAAGCCCGCTGGTACCGACGCAAAAATAAGCACATGTAAAAAAAGGGGCGCAACGACGCACACCAACCGCATAAACGAATATACCAAAAAGAAAGAGAGAAAACTGCCATCCTAATGCTTGTCCTTTCATTATATTATTCATTGAACATTGTCATCACCAGCCTCACTATTCTTAGTCCCGTTTAATATCTGGGTAACTATGTATGTTAAAATTCCCTCGCATTCCCATGTATATTTTGCTTAGTCTTTAGTGTTGTATCTAATGCGATTGCTTCGACAATTGCACCAAACTGCACCAAAGGGCTAACCCTGCTACATCCTGCTACATTTTGCCGACATATGAGTAATATGCGCCAAGCCTGCGCCAAAGGACCAGTTTTGGATGCCTTAAAAAACCGACACTAAACTGTGTATCGTAATTGAGCACGCATGAGCTAGGTGCGCAAGCGGCCGCCTGACACAAGGTACCCTCCATCAATCGTTCATACGGTCTTGCGTAATTTTTCCCGCCGTCTCTCGTTTCGCGCTCTCATTTCCTCGTATCTTTTTTAAAAAAGAACTTTTAACGATAGACACAGGCGTGTGCAGACGCTCCGACGCTAGCGCTGGGCACCAGCCATGCTGTCATGCTGCGAAACAAAACCACGTTTTTGCGTGGCGGGAGTTACTTTGTGAGCTGAAGCACTCGCTCCTGAAAGCAACGGCCGTAGGAAAACTATATTTGTCTCTGCCTGCCAGTCACCGTGGTCGTGCGACGTCGGGTGTTGCCGTCCCCACGTCGCTGCAGATATGGCGCTTTCTAAACTGAAACGTAAGGACCGCTGCATGTTCGTCAACATTCCTGTTCTTGTTTCATATGCTACTACAAAAATCTCTTTAGCTCAAAGACTGCTGTGTCGAAGCACTGACTACCTAGGTTTCTCTCGGTAGGTTTTCTTTTGAGAGGAACCCCTGTACGTCGTGAGGAGAAGTGAGCTAAAGCAAAAAAGGGAATGTCTGTAAGCTGAACTCGCACAGCGCTTGTTTGTCTGGAGTTCAGTCGTTGCACAAAGTGCTCCCAGAACTTTTTGACCCTGGCTCGCGATGTCTTGCATTGATGTGCTTAGTTTCTTTTTTGTGTGTGTGTGTGTGTCTAGCTTGTACCTTGCCTGCCGGCCTGGCAAAAATGTGCCGCTGGACTGTTTCTTTTTGTTTTGTTTTTTTGTTCTATGCTGGACAGTTATATTTTGCATACAATTTTGGGAACCAGTTGGCGACGAAGCAGGGTGGCGTGGTTTCGATCGAACAGCCATCTCCGCTCACGCGAGAAATTTTGCATTGCACTGCAGTAGTTATGCGTTTCATCAATCGGAGACTGCTTCTATTTATTATATAACTAGTCAAGCTAATGCTGTGATATTTACTTCTAAGCTGGTCAGTTTGAAATAATATGTGCAGTTTGGTTCTTATATACCTATAGCGGGTACATATTTATGTATCATTTAATTGAAGCATTACAAAAGGTGTCATGTCATTGGCATTTCGGTTACATGTTGAAAGACTCCCAGGTGGTCTAACTTGACTATAATTTGTTTATTGCTGCAAGCAAAGTGTCCTTCGTGTGTCCAGCGCTTGAAACAAATATTTTTACTTGCCTAAGAATGTCTGCTCCAAAAGCCACTTTTGCTGCTCCAAAGGCCACTTTTGCTGCTTTAAAGGCCACTTTTGCTGCTCCAAAACACTGTTTTCGCTGCTCCGAAAGGTGCTCCAAAACGGCTTAGGCCAATCACATCACTGTCTATTGCATAATGTCAGCATTAGTTCTATTATTCTCTTTAGTATTCTCCCATGTGTGAACATGCCTAAGTTCCTGTGCACTTTCGATTTATGCCTAGTGAGTTTTCTGGGTCCCAGGTATTGTGTAATGTCATAATTAGCTAAATATTTATTTTCAAAATAAAGTACTGTAGTTTCTGGTGTATACAACAGTTTTTTTCAAACATTTGTACAGTTGTAATCGTCAGTTTCCAGTTATGTGCATAGTGTGAACAAAGGTTGTTGTGGTCACACTGTTTGCACACAGTACAACATACATTGACACAGGCCCTTCATGTGGCTTGTCTTTTTTTGCTTTCTTTTGGTTTTCTTTGGTTTAAGCATTTCACAGTTTGTTCACAGTCCTCTCACATTGGTTCTTTTTTTTTTTTGTCGCTTTTAATTAACAGAAGTATTGTTCACTCACTCTTGTTTCTTAAGAAAATGCTCCTGACGTAGTTTATCTGATACAGTTAAGGTTCTGTGAATTTGCATTGCCTTAATTTTGGTTTTTTTAGTCATTTGAAAATATTTTTTAAAATGAGTTGGGCAAGTGTCAATTGGAATATCCTCATTGCACCAACTCCTCTACAGATAGCACAAGAGCTGCACTTTGCACGCTTACTTTGAATTTTTGTGAACACAGTCGTTGGTACTGCATTGATCTTTTGTGTTCTGCCCTTGCCACATACTTAGTTGGACAAGGTTTAATTCCAGTTTGCATTGTTTTTGCTTGCAGTATGCTTGCGCCAATGGCCGACTACAAATCGAGGTGGCAAACTACACTTATACTTGCTACCACTCAAAACAAGAAATTAAGATACAACTTCAATACAGTGGTTGGCTGCACATAGGTACTATTGTCTGTCCACCTTGCCGGGAGATTTGTGCGGTGAGTCTCTTTCCCGTTCTCTTGAGAATCCTGACTGTTTCTCGTGTGGCTTCCTGCTGTCTTATATCTCGAAATAAAATGTCTCGCAAGTGATTATTTTGCAGTCCACATTGCGCCCTACAAAGCTAATTGTTATAGATATGTAATTTAGATCCTTCTGTTGCTTTCCTTATAGCAAGAATTCTCAACTAGGTGCAGATTTGATTAGACCCTATAAAAACCACACTCAGTGAATGGAGTGCAGTCCGTGTGAACTTAATAGAGGTCAGCTAGGCGGTGTACAAGTTTGTCTGCTTTTTTTGCAGGGGTTGTTGTGACGTCAAAATGCCAAGCTCTGATTGGCTCCAATTGAAGGATAGTGGGTAGACCTCAAAGCAAGCCGCCTCGAGGTCTACCCACTATCCTTCAATCAGAGCCAATCAGAGCTCGGCATTGTGACGTCATTACAACCCCTGTAAAGGAAGCAGACAAACTTGCACTCTGCATAGATTTTTCTGCAATGCAATAACTGTCGGACATGATTCTTTGGGAATAAGAGAAAGTTACCGTTAGCTTAGAATGAACTGAATGCCTTGTAAGCAGAGTTATATATACAATGTTGTTTTTTTCCTTCTTAGACTAGAAATGTTTCTAAAAAGGGATCTCCCGAGACAAAAATTCATTTCCGGGATGAACTATGAGTGCTTTGGGTTGAGATCAACCACGGTCGGAACCGTTAATAGTATCCCCAAAAGAACTTGTTTCTTTTTTTATTTCAAGAATCAAATCTTTTCTTAGATATCTAGAAAGAACACATCTATAATAACTTTAGGAAGCCATCATGTATGTGTCTACTGTTACTGAAACAATCCTGTAAGAAAAGGCATTTTTTAGAGCCCATACCTGTGTAGTAGCACACCCTAAGTAGCCCCTCGTGTTTCCAGGAATCGGGCAGTGCTCTCCTTTTTGTGTAAAGCTCGTGCATCAAAAGAAAATTAGTGACATTATGACCTACGCTTTTCTTGCAACAGAAGGAAGGCATGGATTGTGATGCAGACCTGGTCAAGGCAAGCTACCTGCAGGCGGAGAAGTATTTCCACAAGGATCGTCTCCTCTGCTGTGCCGGAAGGCAGTCTGCCATTGCTCTGGTGTGGCTAGCGCTGATTTTGCTAGCAGTGCTGAGGTGACCCAGGCTTTGACTCTGAGGGAAAGCCTCGAAAAGGACGATTCTGGTCACGGGAGATTGTCTGAGCTGAGAGAAGGAACTAGGTGACAAGCACCACCGTGCAATCGCATATTACCTACGGATTTCAGGGAGGCTGGGGATTTGAAGTTGCCAGATTCAGGGGAGCCCGCAACAAATGTGCCGCCCAAGGGCAGACATGCTATTTCTTACATCATTTTTTGGGTTTAATTCTCTGGACATCCTGACTGGCTCCAAAGCTTTAGTACCTGCATTGTATCATATGAGCGTTTCCTTCATGCTCATCGTAGATTTTATGGTTTCCTCGATTTCTCGCTAGAGGCCTCTTTTGCATCTAGAGTGCAAAAGACAGAGTGATAACGGTCTCGGGCCTTTTGAACATCATTCATTCTTTCTTGGCTTAGCATTGTCTCGAACAAACACATATGGGCAAAAGCTCTTGAGTACTTTGCCAAAAGTGATGCTGTAACAAATTAATGGATATTTTTGTTGCTGAAATACTAGGAAGCTTCTTGGTTCTGAACGAAAATGTCTAGCACTCGGAGAGTAACATATTTTCTGGGCTATAGTCCACAGACTATAGATGTTTAAGAGCTGAAATTTTAGGCTGTGCAAGCTATCTACGCGTGCGGACTATACAGGAATTATGCTTTTCAAAATCGCTCATTATGACGAGACATGACGGATTTTGTTAATGAAAGTGTATGTAAATGACGATTTACGTATAATACAAACTTCCTTATGAGCTAAGAAAGCATACATTTGTCAAGATGTGCCGTGTATGAGAAAAGTTTTTGTGTCGAGCACCAGGTGCGACTATGCACGGCGTGCGGACTATGCATTGGGTGTGGACTATACCAGGTGCGGACTATAGCCCGGAAAATGCGGTACAGAGAAGGGGTGAAGACATTGAGACCTGTGATGGGCGAACCTTAGGTGCATGGTGTGATTTGAGGTCGTTGCTGTAAAGCATCATGCCTCAAATGCATCACAAATGTTTACGACTGCATGCTCTGTGTTGCATATTACACACTTTCACGATTAACAATCCTCCACCTTAGCAACCCTGAAAACAAAGAATGAAGTTTTTTTTTTTTTTTTTGTATTTTATGTTGCCTATTTTGACATTACTGAGAAGTTATATGCATGTGCCAAGGGCCCCAGACAATTTCTAATACATAGTATAATGTGTCTAGCAAACGGGTAACATTATGTAACAACAAAACTGGAATCTCCAGCCAAAACATGAGGGTTTATCAAAAAGTAATTTCCACTTTCGAATAAAGCACAAAATAAATATACAATATCCCGAGTCATCGCCCACCCCACTTTTTGGGTGAATATCAATTATAAAAAAAACGCCGAGTGATCACCCCCAAAAGAATCTTTTTCACTTTTTCCAGGCAATTCAATATGGTGTCGGAAGACTACCCAATTAATATTTTGCTACCGAGTCACGTAAATTTTTAATAAAGCCAAAAAACGCAACTGCTCGAATCAAACTGAAACCTGCGCACAGAGGTCGGAGAAAGTGCCGGAAGTCACGTGGCTACACCCGACCGCGCGCTTTTTTAATGCGAAAGCATTAACTGGGGGGGTCCCATGGAGTGAGCCGACGTCATCAGTTTGAAGTGCGCCAAGTGGCACCTTAAATCCTTTCTCCAAGTGAAGCCAGCTCCCAGCTATGAAACCACGCAAAAAGCCTAGGCAGCGGCACCTAGTTTCCCCAATCCCAAAGGAGCGGAGCAAAGCTGATGGATTTCGGCTTTGGTCCCATTGGCTGGCGCACGTTGACGAGGCTCTCATTGGCCGCTGCGCGTCATTTTCCCATGGCGCTGTGTGTCCGCAAAGCCGCGGCTCCACGCCCAATGTCATTGCATGAACTTGATCATCGACGCAAGTACGAAGCAGACGGCAGAAGGGAGCAGAAGAGCGGCGTGCATGTTTTCGCATTCACAACTCGTAAGAAATGCTTAGATGTACCTCGAGTTGCTTTTTTTTTTTCTTTGCGCGCAGCTGACGACAGCGTTGCAGGAATTGTTTGCCCTTGCGATTGCTTTGCAGTCATGTTTGTTTCGCTCGCTGTTCTGCACTTCAAGATGTGTTGTTTTGTGTTTTGAAGAGTTGGAAATGAGTAGTGAGTGCCCGCAATGAATGCCCGTGATCGGCTCCGAAAAGAATGCCCCCAAGATGTCGCTTGAAGAGCTGCCTCACAGGTTCTGCATCCAAAAATGGCATTGTGCGGCAGAGTCTACAAAAGTTTACGAAAGATCAATGGGATGGGACCAATGGCGAGCTGCAATTCCTGCAGAGCAGTTACAGGCACCTCGGAAGGCAGACGCTACCCAATTTATATGCTCCTTGCCTTTTGTGGAAAGTGACTACATTGAGTTTGCAGTTGTCAAAAAGGGAGTCCCGTACCATTTAGGTCAGCGACATTTCGTCGACATTTGTTTTTCAGTGATAATTGTAAAAAAAGAATGTAAATATCTCAAAATGTTAAAAAAAAAAAAAGACAGTTCGCTCACTTTTCGGATTGAACCTGGGTCCCCTGCGTGTGAAGCAGACACCTTTCCACAGGATTACTCTACAGCTTTGAATAGCTCTTTTGACAAATCGTCTTGTACGAGACCCGATAGGGGAAACTGCCCGAGCGATGTCTACAGCCACGAGAAGGGGCGATGATTCGGGGACGTCTTCTTGCAAATCAGCTTGGTGGTCGGGCATGTCATACAAAATGAATCCTAATTGTTTTGATCGGTCCAAAATTTCTCTTTCGAAAGAAGACAAATTCGCCGGTGCCGCGAACGACAGTTCTGAAGTAGAGGTCCTACGCCCGTCGTCTGTTGCCATCGCCGTTCAGCCTGCGAGTCCCACGATATGCGATACGACGCCATGTTCAGAATTACACAGTGAACGCACAGAATGCATCTGGTTCTCTGTGCAACTTTTTTTTCAATCACCATATTTGCAGCTTTTTAGAAGCCACAAAAAATGGGTTTAATCTTTTTTGTCTATTTTTAATATTGAGTGTGTGCCTTCAATGACCCACGGCTTTGATTAAATTTGGTAGTTGTGTCTAAACCTTAGAAAACAGCCCGTGACCACAGAGAAGAGAGTGAGCGCGACTCAAACCGGCCAAATCTCGATTGGCGGTTTTTGAGCGGAAAGAAACCGAATTTCGAACCACAAATTCTGTTCTGGGTAGTTGGGCTCTCATATATCATGTACAAGTAAAAACCTCAGCGAGCATAAATACCCTGTCAGCGTTCCTTTAAGAAAGGTGCCGTAGTGAAAAGCTTGGAGAAACTATTCAATATTCTATTAGAAAATATTTGGCCAAAACCGCTATTCGCTTTGTATTTGCTTCAAACTCAAAATCCACTATTCACATATGACTAGATACTACCAATAGAGCAACCCCTGAGCCAGTGTTGTCAGAATTGGCTAAAACAGGAAAACCCCAAGTTGGAGCCGTCCTATAATGACAAAACCCTTCGCTGAAAGAAATCTTTATTTACAGCTTCATTTCGTGCTGACCCTGTGCACAGCCTAAACTGAATTGTCTGCGAGGCTGCATCTTTCTTCGAGAACCAAATACCTTATCCCCTACCCTAATGATTCTGGGACAATTTATAGGTGGTTGGGTCATGCTCAGGTGCCCTGGTGGCTGGGCAATTAATTCCGTGTTCCTTTTAAATATAAGCCCAGCAAATGCAAATTTCTGCCTGACATTGAAAATTAACACTGAAGAATGCCAAATCTCTGTGGAAAATAAAGTACAAGAAAAAAAGTTTGTGAAAAATAAAACATGGAACTTTAATTTCAAGTTACACCTTTTTTGTTAAGTGGCTGGGCCCAAAAAAAGGGGTAGACTTTTTTCGAGGTTTTGGCTTTTAGGGTGTGCAAAGAATCATGTAAATGAGGCAGTTTCTAACAAGTAACCAAACAGACTAGCTTTGTTAGTGTTTTGTGGCAACATTCGTGTTTCTCGCTGTGTAATGTGTGAATTCAGAGATTTGCAACAACCTGTACGCTTCAGCTTAAGCTTATCGATGCTGCTGGTCATCAAATGTTAAGCCATTGCTTTGCACTTACATCCATGCAGCCTTTTCTCTGATCTTGCCTACAAGGAATATTTATGTATTTTCATTTTAGCGAGAATTTTTTTTGAGGCACATTTTAGTTCATTCTAGGGTTAGGTGCCCTTTGTATGAGCGTGCATCTACTTAAAGCAGGCTCATCCATTATTCTGGTCATCTTTTGGGGCCAGAGTTAAAGGCGGAATCGTGAGGTCTACCTTGTGCATTTTGAAGTGCATTTCAGGACGTTCAATTTTTAACTTGCTTTTTCTAGGGAGAACAGTGGTAGTCACATCTTGCTGTCATTGGTGCAACAGTATAGCAGGCTCTCTGCTTTCATCAGCCTTCTTATTGTCTTGTTTTACACAAGCACTACCTTTAATTGCCATGCAGTATTTTTTTGTGTCTTGTGCTTTTGCAATTGGAAAGATTTTGAAGCACAAACCATTCAGATGTGTAACGGTGTATGCCAATGCAAGTTGTCTAGATTCTATGGAAGCTACAGGATTGAATAATGAGCAAATGGAAACATGTTGATGGGTCTCTGTTGTTTTGAGGGTGTGTCACAAGACATATGAGAGTATAACTTGTGTCCTCTATTCTCAACTCTACAAGGGGCCCTGGTTGTCATCATGGGGCATCATTTAAGGTTCAATTTTGGGTAAATTTGTCTACAATGCACAAAATGCTTTTTCCCAAACTCTTTCTTACCAATACTCTCGCATGCAGAAAAATATGCGACTTGGAAGCATGTTTATAATGTGAAACTATCATAAAATATTGTGGTTTTTCTTTAATATGGGTCTGCATGCTCTTCTGAATCTGCGAGGGCATTTCCGAGATCTCCCCATTGACTTTGTGGAAGCCTCCCGCGACATGTCCGTTAAGTGTGCTTTCTCTCACTACAGTCGTGCACTGCAAAGGAGTGCAACTACAAAATGCAGAAAAGGGAGAAATTGAAAAAAAATCTACCGCCTCGATAATCTTGCTGGTGTGACGACTGTACCAGCTTTGGACTACACATTGTTTTGGGGAAACAGAAGCCTTTAAAGTGCATTTCCATTATCTGGGGCCTAGCGCAATCAAGTGAACAGCCAGGTTTCCCCACCCTGCTGCCTTTTCACACCAAAGGGAAATGCAGTTGAAGGGAGGAGCAGTCCTTCAAGAAGATCAACTAAATTAAGGCATTGGCTGCCATTTTTCTACTTCAACTATCTCACAAGCTTTGGTGGCATGCACTGTGAAGAAGCACATTATGTGTATTTCTTTCACTTTATATTGTAGTTTCTGCTTTCCAAGTATCTAATGACACTTGAATGTCTGAAAGACTTTTATGCCATTAGATTATGGGTTGTTGCACAAGTCCATAATCAGTTGCAATATTTACAAGCTAATGAAGCAACTTTCAACGTGCAATTTGAAATAGAACAAATATATTGAAGGAATGCAAAGAGGGTGCAGTGAAAGTAGAAAACTTGAGAAGTTTGAGCTTTGAAATATTTGTTTTGTGGGATCCCCCAACGCTGAATATTAAAGTTGTAAGCATGGTATGGCATGCATCCTTGCTAACCATCAAGGTAATCAAAGATTGGTGTCCAATTTCATTTTTGCTTGTTTTCTAATATTTGCAGATAATATTTTGTACAGAGAAACTTTTAAGGGCATAGCATTATGAGTTTGACACTGAGTTGAGCTGTCCATCATCACACTGTTTGTGAGACCATTTGTGATGCTAATAATTGCCATCATTTATTTTTTCTGTTTTATCTTTTACTTGCACATGCCCTTATCGCGTTCCTTGGTACTTTTTTAGCCATGCTCTGCTCCATGCACAAACAACCCTGACATAATTCATAATACTTATGAGACTGTTTTATTCATTCCAGTTAAGCTCTGTGTATTTGTTTAAACGGGTTTTACATTGTTTAATTATTTAACTGTGAGTGCCACTATGAAGCGATTGCTTTTCTGCCAGGGACTGCTTTGACTCTGGCCCTTTTTTTGTTTCTTGTTTTCAAACCTCATGTTCTGGCTTTTTTTTTTTTATCAACATCAAAATTATAAAAATATTTCATCATTTAATTGCAAACGAGGAAACCATTGAATCTAGAAAAGCACCAACTGGGTGCTTTCCCTTGCAGGGAATACCATCCATAAACCATTATCATCAAGTAGCAGAGAAGTAATTTTTTTAGTGTTTCTCATTTTTACTTTTTATTCCATATTTTGTATGTGTTTCTCATCCACATCATTTCTCCTGGTAGAGTGACTGAGCAGATTTTGCCAATGCAAAAAGCCAACTCACTGTGGTGTTCATACCTAGTTTCACACTTCTCCAATCAGGTGTACAATTTGTAGGTATGAAAGAGCAACATGTATGCAAGTTAAAATATTAAAAACAATTATGATAATATCGAGCATTTCAACTTGTGTAATATGTTAATGTCTGGCATTGAGTTAGGTTTACTGATGGCTCCAGGAGCTTTTCTGAGAGCTAAGATGTTTACCTTTTATGGTGTTTTCAGCACTACAGAAATTCATATTCCAATATTATTGCCATGTCATGGATTTTGCACATTGTCACAGAAATATTTTGCTCGTAAATGTGCCCAGGCGGGCTGTCATCTAATGATGCAGAGGGTGTTTGCTTTCTACATGGGTGTACTCTTTGCAGGGCTTTAGACGTGCTGGCCGGCATAAAAGTGAAGAGTGCGAACATTCCACACATGTACACATTATATGTTATTCTCTATAAGAATCTATCCATGCATCATCATGTCACCATGTTTGTCTCTTTTTTTAGTTGTATTTAAGCATGGTCCGAAGAAAAAGTGTTTATTTATTGTACATCTTGAAAGCTTCCTCATTTGTAGATTTTGCCTTGGAGAATACACATTCTGAAAAGCATGAAGGTGAATACTGTTTACTATGCTCTCTCTGTCTCTGTGTAGGTTTGTTCTTTTTTTTTTTGTCAATCGGTTCAGCAGGATTTTCAACGATTTTACTGAACATTCAAGCATACCTATTTTTTTATCGCATAAATTGAGATTTTTGTGCACTGAACAGGACCACAGAAAGTACACTGTTAATTGATTTCAGCCCATCTTTTTTTAAATACTTCAATTACTTTTTACACCCATTAAACATAACGCTGCAGTGGCGTATTTAAAAAAAAAACGATTGGGTGGGCTGGGGTGCTACCAGCACGTAAAAATAAACGCAAAAACTAAAAACGTAGGAAAAAAAAAAGTGCAAGAAGGGACAAGAAAACAAGCGACGTTTCGGGCGCGCGCCCTTTGTCAAAGCTTGTGCAAGACGTCATTGGTGGACCCCCAACCAGTGTGCTACTAGGATTGCGTCGGAAGCTCCTCCCACAAGCGTGATGCGCCCGTTTCCAATCCCTCCGCAGTCGAAAGAAGAGTTCACTGAAAACGCTCCTTGTTCCGCTTCAATGGATAGATAATGGCCCCACTTTTTAAGAAAGCGGCCTTTGTATTCATCGGAGGGGGAACCGAGCCCCTGAAAGCAGCCTTTGTATTCATCGGAGGGGGAAGCTAATCCCCGAAAGTCGTATTTGTTTTCATCGGAGGGGGAAAACTCTAATCTCCCTCTCGTGGCTTCCACAATGCTAAGTAAAGTCAAAAGATAAAGCAAATATGTACAGAAAGGCAAGACCCTCCTTGCGCATTGGCCGCGACGTCACGGAAACGATGGGACGCTATTGGATGCGGAGGTGGCGGGGGGATATATGATTCCCTTTGAGGGGCATTTGCCGCTACCTTCGTAACCTGTAGGGAGTTTTCGTAGGTGGTTTTCGCCGTCCCGCAACGATTTCCGCAAGCCGCTAGGATATCCAGAACTCTACAGTCAAGGCCATCGGCGCGCAGGCGCAGTAGCGGCTTCGTTCGGAGGGCTTAGCGGAGGGGGAAACGCGGTCTACAAAAACTCCCTATTTTTTTTTTTTAATTAACATATTTTTTTTATGTTTTCCATTCTGCCATAAAAACGGCGCGTTCACACCGGCGATGTGCAACATTCGCGCGATAACTCACCGCAAAAGTGTCCATCCCGGAAAAAAAAGCGACGTATTTCGAGCAGGCGCGGTTTTTTACGACGTGACGCGGAGCGGCTCAGCCAATCGGCGGCGTTCGGGGCGCGCGCGCGAGAGAGAGAGAAGCGTTGTGAATGGGGGGAGGGGGGGAGGGAGGGAGAAGAAGAGGAGAGGAGGTGAGGGCCAATAGTGTAATCGGGGCGAGAGTTTTCGAGAAGCAACTCGTTCATCGCGCACGATCTGATAGGCGCGCCTTTCGACAAAACCCCGGATATTGACGGTTTGAACGTTTGATCCAGGCATGATAGCCAGGATTTTGATTCGAGGGGGGGAAGGGGGGGGGGGGGGGGGAGAGAGAGAGAGAGAAGAGAGGCCCCAACAAAATGGAAGATTTCGGGGAGGGGGGGGGGGGGGGGGGGGGCTATAGGCCTTCCCTCTGGATACGTGCCTGGTTTGATCTGAAATATCCCCTTCAGACACGATTTTAAAATATATAGAGGAAAAATCGTTTCTGTACTTTTTTCACATCAGAAAGCCTCAATGATGAAAATGAATGGATATAAAAATATTTTTTGAAGTTGGGTGTTGTTGTAGGTCGCGTACACATTTGTGTACATTGTGTATCACTGGGTACAAAAATATCCAACAGGTAGTTGATACAAAAATCAAAGCAGTTTTTATTTCTAACTAATTTTTCAAGGCTTTCGCGTCAGATTTGCTTTGCACAAGCACCAGGAAACGGAAGAGAATGTTTACTTGTTGTGGAAAGCGAAGAAGCAATCGTTGTTCGCCAAGAGGCAGAGGTACACGTTGCATTTCCTGCACCGAATGCGCGTCCTCGATGTGCAGCCTTCGAACTTGCAGCGCTGAGCAAAGGTTTGCGCAACATGGGCTGGCCAGTGGTTGAGGCCATCGTAGCGAACTGCCCTGACAGGTCGTGGTTCTGCGTTGTGCACTTTCTTTGGTGGTTCGCCTGCCTGCTGGAGGCTTGGACGGCCACGCTTCTTAGCAACGGCCTTGTTGCACATGATTAGCGACAGCGCAACCTCATTCTGGAAGCCCAGGAGGTCAAGGACGCTCTTTCGTGGCGTGCGGTTTTCCTGAGCATCCCTGAGATACTCAAGCCAGCTGTTTACGATACCGAATGAAACAAAGTGAGACATAACTCGCACTGTCCATTTCTTCGTCCGTTGTCTGAGCGGATACAGTGAAAGCAAGTAATCCATTTTGTCTACACCGCCCATGAAGGCGTTGTATTCCTTGATGATCGCTGGGCAAGCGATGTCTACATGCTGCTTAGTGGCTTCGCTCCACCTTCTTACCGTGGACAAGTTCTCGACGCCAACGTAAGTCGAAGCAATGTTGACGTTCCCGTTGTCTTGCCACCTCACAAGTGTGACGTCACCTTCTCTCGTGACCTTGTAATCCAAGCTTCCTCTGCCTTCACGCCTCAACTCCTTCTCGGGTTTCAGGACACAGCCCTGCAGTCTGTTGGCGCGGATGGTCCCAACCGCCCAAATCCCAACTTCCTTCAACTCTCGGAGAAGAGGCACCGACGTGAAGTAGTTATCGAAATAACACTTAAAATTACCGAACTTTGGCATGTGCTCAACTAACCTCATTACAATAGAGCCACCCAGGCCAAGGTGCTTGTGTTCCTCAGAAGTGCCAGTGCCCTTTCCCTGATACAACTCAAAGTCGTACGCCATGCCTTCCGAGCTGCAACGGATAAACACCTTAACTCCTTCTGGGTTGGGTTTGTTTCTTACAAACTGTTTGGCAGCCACTCTGCCCGTAAAGGGCACCATTTGCTCATCGATGCTGTTTCTTTCACACGGTGGCAGTGTCAAACACCGCTCTCTGATGGCATCAAGCAGTGGCCTCACCTTCCAGAACTTGTCAGTCGGAGAGCGCGGTGACGACGACTCTGTGATGTGCAGGGCTGAGCGCAGCTTAAAAAATCGGTTTACGCTCATTGCCTCTGAGACAACAGGAATTTGGGTCGCTGTTTGCCAGTACATTCTGATGCGTGGAAACTTCAGCGTTCCCATTATCATTAGCATCCCAAGAAATGTTTTGATCTCTTCTGGAGTGGTTGCAAGAATGGCTCCGGTTGTCTCTAGTACATAGATGTTGGTACACCGCGCCATTTCCTCGAACAATGGCTCAGGAAAATACCTGGAAAAGTATTCTACAGGTTCAGCCAGTTCTTCTAGTGGACGCTGGTTGCACTCAAACGAAACGTCAGGTGGCGCAAAGTCCTTCGCCATCCAAACAGTTCGAGTTTTTTGCTTGGTTCTCGTATCGCCTTCGTCTTCCTCGTCGTTTTCAGGAAGTGAGGGCGCTTGTACTGCTGCCGATGGGCCTGGCTCTCCGCCAGGGGTGTCCGCCTGATTGACAAATTAAGTTATTTTAAATCTCACCACATTGATTCAAAACAGAGTACAGAGAAAGGGCACTACTCACGGGTTGTGGTGGAGGTAGCTCGGCGTCTTCATCATCTGTCAGGCCGATATCAGACGTGTTCCCATCTGCTATTTTCATCAGTAGCCTTTGTGCCGAATCATTGTCCATCCTTGTCCGATTTCTCGCATGATTGCTGAGCTCTAGACGTAAAAAAAAAAAAAAGAAATATTTTATTTTCCCTAGCCAGTATCGAGCTTTCGTGCAAATTCTACTGACGAAAAAGAAAATGCGGCATTTGTGCTCATTGCGGCACGTTGTACACAAACGTGTACGCGCTAATTGAACCTTGAAATTCAGAATCAATTTACTTGCCCCGATGTTTATTTGTTATCATAAGTTACTCTGTAGCTCTTTAGAAACGTCTTCGCATATTCTACACCTAGTGCAAAGACATGGAACAAGAGAAAAAGCTTTTTTTTGTAGGCTACTCACCGGCGCTCCCGTAAAACGTGGAGGCGTCCATCTTGCAGTCGGCGTTTCTCGGTGTGTTTTGAATAGTTTCCGTGAGATGGCGCCACTTACCCGTGGCCAAAGGTGTTCACAATCGTGTACGGTGTGTCCCGAGAGGAGCAGAGTGGTATTAAGGAGCAAATAAAAGTAGAAAATTTGCGTACACAATTCTGTACGTCATGTCCGAAGGGGATATATGAAGAGAGCGAGCACACTGTCGTTTGCGTTGCACAATTCACTCAGCAATTAGCCAAGCTCAAAATGTGTCTGAAAACAATCAGTTGATTTGACAGTTCTTGCTTTCCTGACGATTTTTACTACAACACTGTGAACAAAAATAATACTTGTCTTTTAATGGTGATATATTTTTAAGGCAAGAATCCCGAGCTCAAAGCGCTTTATCTTTGGCAGTTGCTCCTGCTGATCGAGAGTTCGCGCAGCTAAGATGCATCCTGAGATGCATAAAAAAAAAAAAAAAAAAAAAAAAAAACTGGGAAGCAAAAAATAAAAAGAAACAGAAATTAACACAGATAATTATAAACTGTACGTGAATACGTTAAAAGAGCATAGCTCTTTGAGCGAAAAGGAATATACGAAATGAGATCCCTATGGTGCAAGCCATTTCTAGCGCTTGAGACATGAGAACCGGGACTCGTAGGCCGGTTGCTGTCGGGCCGCGTCCCACCGAGTCACGGGCCGCATGCGGCCCGCGGGTTGCGTGTTTGAGGCCCCTGGTCTATCCTGAACCAGTTCGCCCGCAGTTATTCATTTGGGAGCCATATACCCAATTAGCTTCACAAATATTACAGGAGGGCATTTTCTTTTTTACAAAACTGGCAAGTCTTAATGATAATAAATTGATCTATGTTAACGTGATCCGACAGCTTCCCTATGAAAAGAAGGAAAAATTCGGTGAGCTTTTCTCCGTTTCCGCCGGTTT